CCCCCCACGATTACTGAGTACTTCAGTCAACATCGTATTCTTGATACGCGTTTCTCATTTAACTATCGCTGAAATCTCTCTTCTGTAGGCACACACCCAACACCGAAAAGCACCTAGAATCTACAAAAGGGTTTTACATCTCCGAGATGGCCTCAGGCTACGGCAGCGAGAGTCTGGATCTAAGGAAGGAGACAGACCAGGGTTGCCCTGAGTTTCACTGACCCCCTAGCCAAGGCCCCGACTCACTAGTTCACATGATGAGTGACGCACATGCTTGTTTGCTCTGGAAGCTGCATTTCCCATCAGTGGGGCACGTGGAAATAGTGCCGATCTGGAAGCAAGAGACTTGAGTTCTAGTCCCGAGTACTAATCACAAACTTATTATAAAGACCTCTGGTCCACAGTGGCTTCATCTCCACAAGAAAAAGTCTGGGTCCGATCCTTCTTAACAGGCCTTTAAAAGAACTGGCTTTTTTTTTTTTTTTTTCTGTCCTGCTAGGTGGCAGAACTCGGTAACACAATGCTTCTGTGTGTTAACAGTTTAAGAGCCTGGATCTTACTGCTCCAGTTACCTGTTGCTGTATAAGCTCTTGCCCAAGTCATCTAACAGCTCCAAGCCCCAGTTTCACCTGAGAAATGGGGATGGTAATGGTCCTGACCTGATCAGACAGTGGTTGGGAGACACGTTATGCCAAAGTGTAGGCCTAGCACACAGCACACACTCACCTGTCAATGTTTTTCAATATGTAGCCTTCATTCCTCTTTAGTCATCTGATTTAGAGCTCAATCAGTGATAGGTGGGTTTGGGAGTATGTCTTTTATTTCCCTCAAATCTGGACTTAGGTCTGACTCTGGAGCTGTCTCGGTAGAGGTGGCAGAGGGAGTGGCAGAAAGGAGATTGGGAAGCTGGGTTTTCCACTTGTGGCTATTTCCACTTTAAAACAGAACAAAACAAACAAAGCACAGGACTTTCTGATTGTCCTCCCAGGTGGGGCTTTGCATGGGCGCTTGTTGTCAGTCTGGAAGAACAAGAGGTTCTCATCTGCCTGCGTCACCCGGCTCCCAGGGTCAGGCCCTGCTTCCTGTCTTGGCAATCATTCAGACCCGGGGGAGTAGACAGTGACCGGCTTGGGGGCCTTTGTCCCACCCTGCCAGGCACCCAGTCCAGGGTCCCACAGTGGATATGGATGGTGAGCCATAACCTGGGAAGGCTGCATCTCGGGGTTTAATGGTGACGTTCTACTCAGTGCATGCGACCCATGTCCACACACCATTATCACCTCTGGAATGCCTTCTGTTTGCTAAGCTCTGGGCTTTACTTGAATGATCTCATTTATCCTCAGGATCACCTGAGGGGTAGATACAATGATTAATCCCCACATTTAGAGAGGGACTGAATCTTAGAAAGGCCACCCAGGTGGTAATTGGTCAAGTCGGGGTCAGAACCCCATTAATTAAATTCATAGCCTGTGTTCATGGGCGCTGAGTCTCTGTAAGAAAGTAAGAAAATTAGGATATTGTGAAGATGACACTGTGCAGCACAAAGTGTACAGATGCCCGGGAGCCCAGGTCCTGAGTTCCAACCTTGGTTGCATCACTCAGCATGTGTGGCCTTGAACAAGTCCTTTATTACATTGAGGCCTCCACTAACTGAGCTGTCAAATAAGGGGCTGTGATTGGTGGTCTCCAGGGCCTCTGACATGGTGCGATGTTCTGAAGTCAAAGACTTAAAAGGCTGGAAAAGGTGGGTGTGGTCATGACTTTAAAGAGAGGAGTTTTCTCACACATTGTAATTGTTATGGAAAATTACCCAAAACTGGGAAATCAGGCAAAAAGATGACTGTGTGACCTTTTTATGTTATACTAGAGCATTTGCAAAAAAATCCATCTGGCATTTTGGAGAATTGAACTTATTTTCTTAACTATTTTTTAAAAAATATATTTTATTGATTATGCCATTACAGTTGTTCTATTCCCCCCTTATTCCCTCCCCTCTGCACACTCCCTCCCCCATCATTCCCCCTTTAGTTTATGACCACGTGTCTCAAGTTCTTTAGATTCTATATTTCCCATACTATTCTTGCCCTCCCCCTATTTTCTACCTACCATCTACGCTACTTATTTTCTATACCTTCTCCCCCCCTCTTCTTCTCCCACTCCCCTGTTGCTAACCCTCCATGTGATCTTCATTTCTATGGTTCACTCCTGATCTAGCTGTCCTCTTAGTTTGCTTTTGTTTTAGGTGTGGTTGTTGATAACTGTGAGTTTGCTGTCCTTTCACTGTTCATATTTTTTATCTTCTTTTTCTTAGGTGAGTCCCTTTAACATTTCATATAATAAGGGCTTGGTGATAATGAACTCCTTGAATTTGATCTTATCTGAGAAGCACTTTATCTGCCCTTCCATTCTAAATGAAAGCTTTGCTGGATAGAGCAATCTTGGATATAGGTCTTTGGATTTCATGACTTGGAATACTTCTTTCCAGCCCCTTCTTGCCTATAAGGTCTCTTGAGAAATTCGCTGACAGTCTGATGGGAACTCCTTTGTAGGTGACTGTCCCCTTATCTCTTGCTGCTTTAGGATTTTCTCCTTCATTTCAATCTTGGCTAATATAATGATGATGTGCCTTGGTGTGTTCCTTCTTGGGTCCAACTTCTTTGGGACTCTCTGAGCTTCCTGGATTTCCTGGAAGTCTATTTCCTTTGCCAGACTGGGGAAGTTCTCCTTCATTATTTGTTCAAATAAGTTTTCCACTTGTGGCTATTCCTCTTCCCCTTCTGTTACCCCTATAATTCGGATGTTGGAGCATTTAAAGTTGTCCTGGAGGTTCCTAAGCCTCTCCTCATTTTTTTAAATTCTTGTTTCTTCATCCTTTTCTGTTTGGTCATTTTTTTCCTCTTTCTGGTCCACTCCTTTGATTTGAATCCCAGTTTCCTTACCATTACTATTGGTTTCCTGTGTATTTCCCTTCATTTCAATTAGTTTAGCCTTCATATGTTCCTCTAATTTGTGACTAAAATCAACCAGTTCTGTGAGCATCCTGATCACCAGTGTTTTGAACTGTGCATCTGAAAGTTTGGCTATCTCTTGGTCGCCTAGATTTATTGGCTCTGGGGCTTTGAGTTGTTCTTGAGCCATGTTTTGATCTGTTCGTGCCTATTAAGTATGAGGAGCAGATCGTAGATGTTCACCAGGTAGGGCCACCCAGGTTACTGGTTTGTGACGCTGTATGTGGGGGCAGGGTCAGAGAGGGACAATGGCGGTCCCCTCTGTGGCCGTTGGGGCCTACGCTGTATGTCTCACTGCTAGCTCCTTCACCGGTTTATCTGTGCGCCAATGTGTGAGCATGATCAGCCCTCAGTGGGTCCAACGCCTTCGCCCTCAGTGGGTTCGCTCACTACTCCACACCTGGGATCTGCCCACGGCTGCCAGCGCACCTGGGTCGCGCGCCCGGGTCGGTCCGGTGGATCTTTCCTGCCCGACCCTGCTCTGCCACTGGCTCTGCCCCTCTTACTGGTTTGGCTGAAGGGTTCGTTGTTGTCAGACTTCCGTGTAGTTCAATTTTCTGTGGTTTGGCTGCATTTTTGTTCCTAAAACTTTGTTGTTTTTAAACTTGATTGTGCGAGAAGGAGCAGTGCTTCCACAGACGCCTCCATCTTGGTGGAAGTCCCCTATTTTCTTAACTCTTAAGGTCAGCCGGGCATTTTACAAAAACAGCTGAAATAGTTTGGACACAGAATGCAAATACTTGGAGACACTTCATTTTTTTTTAAAGTAAATTTCAGTGTTTATGAGAAGACTTAGGTTGGGATTAGGAAGAGAGCATTCTAAGAAGAGGTCGTTTGGGAGATACAGATGAAGAACAGGAAGTAAACGGGTTTGGTGGCACCCCCTGGATAGAGGTGACGCCTGAAGGCTGCCTTATAGATTCTGATCCTGTTCCCTCCCTCTGGTGACACGCAGTAGTGCTTTGGTGTTTGCATCCCTTCCTCCCTCCCTTTTTTTTTTAAATATGGGTATATGGGTACTTATTTCCATAATTAAAATGGACTAGGATTAATATTGTTTTGAGAATTTGATCACACCTTTGAAGTGACTGAAGGTATCATGGGATGTCACAAAGTCTGAAAAAAGAATGCTTGGATCAGGCATATACGTGGGTACGTGTATCTCTGTGTGTGTTCGCACACAGTCACAGTCGATTGACAGACCTCTCCTTTTATAAAACGAGGACTGTGTGAAATAGCTCCTCAAATCCTTCCTAACGTTCAAACTTACCCTCTTTAAAATGATGACCTTAAAAAGGGGGGTAAAAAGTGTTTCCAACTTTAAGCCAAGTTACTGCTCCTTATGGATCTGGCAAATCCCTCAGAATGTTTGGATGATTGGCCCACCGAAGGTATACTAGGTAGGCAGGGCAGGAGGCTGGCTCTGGAGTAGTCCATCCGGGTTTGAATCTCGGTTCAGACACTGAGGTCATTATGGTAAAAAATAACGAAAACAAAAACGGTGGGGCGGGGAACAAAACCCATCTCACTAGGGTGGCTGTGCAAATAATAAAATAATAAAAGTAATGCATGCAAAGTGCTTACAATGTCTGAAGCCTGTAGTAAATGTTAGCAGTAACAGTAAGCGTCCTGAAGGGCCCTTCCAGCTCTAAATTCCTATGAGTTCTGCTAAGAGGTCCGGGAGCATCCTGCACACACCTCCGCGGCCCTGAGCTTTAGCTCTGGCTTAGCTCCAATGGCTTACGTGCCTTTGGGAAGCTCCCTTCTCTTTCTAGCCTGGTGTCCATCTGCACAGGAAGCTGGGGGATGATCCCTGCGACTCATCTCCACACTAAGTTTGGGCTTTCAAGGTGGCCGTAGCCTCATTCTACAGCCTGAGGCTTCCGGGGCGGGGAGTGTGGTCTGGAGCTGCCTAGACCTGGGGAACTTGCCGGCCTGTGGAACTGGAGACCCGCAGCCCCTCGGCCACCTTCACGTTGTTTACCTCGCTGGATCCTACCCCATTGGCCGCGGGGCCCGCCCGGACCTTGCGGTGCGATTGGACGATCGGCCTGTCAATCTCCGGGGACTTTCCCAGGGGTGGGGCTGTCCGGCCTCCCCCCCGTCCCACTTCCTCGTCCCAGCCCCTTCCTTGGAGGAGCTGGTGGAGTGCTTCGGCCAGAGCCTGGCTTGGCCGCTACCCTGTCCGTAGACCTGGGCTGGACGGGGAGAGTGGGGCGCTGTCCCTCAAGGCCCTCATCTCAGGTAAGTAGGCCGGGCCTGTGGAACGGGAGGAAGGGAGTCTAGGACCGGGCAGTTCAGAGGTTCAGCAGTGACTGGACAAGGAGTGCGTGGCCAGGCCCATCATGGTGGCTTCGGCTCCTTCGTTCCTGGGCTCCCGCGCAGAGGTCTCCGGGTGCCCGGTGCCTCCTAGGGCAGCTTGGGGGCGGGGGTCCAGCTACGTGGGGGAACCCTGCCCCGCGCGGCGGGTGGTGGGTGCGCGTGCGCACTGCGTAGGTAAGCACGCCTAGAAACGGAGAGCAGGCAAGTGCAGAGGCTATGGGCGCGTGCACCATCCAGGTGGAGGGAGTATGCGGGCCTGAGTCTGTTTACGGAGCGGGAGACCAGTTTTGAAAGTGTGTACTGGTAATGAAGAGGGAAATAATAACTATTACTGGACGCTTTCCAAGCGCTTGATCTAAACCCTTTACACGCATTAAATTCATTTAATTGTCACATCCATCTTCAAAATGAGTTTTGTTATTATTCCTATTTTGTTTCAACCGGGGCCCTTGGAGACTGGGGTCGCGCAGCTAGGGAGTTGCAAAGTCAGGATTCGGAACCTGTCATTCGGCTCCAGAGTCCTTGCTCCTTTGAGCCCATTTGCACACTGTGGAGGACAGCATTTGTGTGCGTGTGCAGGGTAGCTGTGGTGAGTTTCTGGGAGTGATTTTGGGTGTGGCATTTCTATGTGTGGTGACTTTTCCACTCTAGAACATTTGTGTGCATGCGGTGATGTGTATGGAAGCGAGGACATTTTATATTCATTAATTGTATGGGAGTGGGTGGGAATTTTGTGTGACTGGGCTGACAGGTTGTGTTTTGCTTCCGGAGGGGTTGGGGGGGGAGGCGGGACTTTTGTGGATGATGCAGAAGAATCAGCAACATCCATCCCCACCCCCTTGCAGAATGACGGTGCAGGGGAATCTGTGGATTCCTAATGCATCATTTTTACTTCACAGTATAGTCAGTGTGGAATTTAAGCAGCACTTACTCACTTTCCAAACAGTGAGGTATGGTAGAGGGGAATTCTGCATCTGATGAGAGATCAGGAAAGGAGACTCAATTTTTGTTCATTCTTGACAATGGGTATTGCGTTGTAGGATGACACATTTATTAGTACAAACTCACAGCAATGCAGTGATGTTGTATCAGTATCCCTGTTTTACAGCAGAGGGAAATGAGGCCGAGAAAAAACAGTAATGGTAATAACAGCTTACATTTGCGAACCCTCATCGTGTGCCAGGCACAGTGCTTTACATTCTGCATCTCATTTAATCTTCTGAACAGCCCTAGGAGATCATCACTATTAGTAGCCTCAGTTTTCAGATGAGGAAACTGAGGCCCCAGAAGGTTAAGACTTGCCCCAAACTAGTAAGCTTTGAACCCTGGAACCTATTTCCTTTCCACTGACCACGGCTCCTGCCCTGGCTGTGTCCCGGGAAAATAATGTGATCAGGGACTGGTACTTCATGGAAGCACTTGATCATGTCCCTCTGGAAGCTGCAGCCATGAGTGTCCTGTGTTTTGTATACTTAGGTGACCCTGTTTCCCTCACTCGTGGGTGTCCCGTGGGTATGGTGTGGCAATTATGTTGAGGGTTGGTGCCCACCCCAATGCCCACACCAGGTCTTTTGGGGCCTCAGGCAGCCCTGGGGTCTGACTCACACCCTTATTCCCGGTGCTGCTCGCAACTTGGGCCTGGATGTACTGGGTTGGGTCCGGCCAACCTGTTTGAGCACCTTAGCACTGTAAGAGGCTGTCTGCCCGCCTCCCTGTCTGGGTACCACTGGGTGCTCCCTTACTTCTGCACTCACTGTGGTTTAGCCGTGCGTGGCTCCTGCTTTCCTTCCCTGCCAAACTTACTCTCTCTGTGAGGCCTTTGTGTGTGCCGTTCCTTCTGCCTGGAGCACCTTTCCCCAGCTCTTTCCATGGCTGGTTCTTCCCTGCCTGTCAAGTCTCAGCTCAAATGTCACCTCCCCGGAGGGGCCTTCCCTGACCTTTTTATGCAAAGTAGCCCCCTTTTTCACTTTCTGTCATAAAACTATTGCATTTTTTTGCACACATTTGTCACGCTTTGCAGTAATCTTATTTATTTGTGAGTGAGAAAGTATATGTGTAGAACTTATGTCTGGCATATGATAATTGCAGGGTTTACTTGTCTGTTGCCTTCCTCTTTTCCTAGGACAGAAGGGTGAGAGGAGGGACCTCTTTAGTTTCCTGTGTGTGTCCCTGATACTAGATAAGAGTGTCTAGGGTAAAGCTCCCCTGGCTTCGTTCAGTGGGTGAGTAGAATTGAAGAAACTGGAATAATGGTGCATTTCCCAGGTGAGGAAACGGAGGCCTAGAGATGGTGAGGCACTTGTCCCAGGAGGTGGTGGCGGAGTCAGGGTGAGAACCAGACCTTGGTGCCCAAGGCATTTTTCCTTCTGACAGCCGCAAACACCTCCCGATGGCCCTCCTGCCCGGTGCTGTGAAAGTGGCGTGATGCTCAGGCGCATAGGAATTGGCTCTGCCCTTGAGGAACTGGGAGTGGACAGGGGAGAAATGTGCTCTGAGCGCTGTCTGGAAGCCACCATGTGCCAGCAAGTGCCCAGCAAGAAGTCCCACTGGGCTTTGAAGCAGTTTGGGGGCACCAGGTGGATAGGGGGCTTCTGGAGGGAGATGACTCCAAGGCCAGGCCCTAGTGGGTCTGAGGTGCAGAGGATGAGGTGCAGAGTGGGGCCTGGGCTGTGGATTTGGGGTAAGGCCCAGCTGGGTTGGGGGAGCTGCCCAGGAGCTGGAGTAGGAAGAGCCCTGTGGCCTTGACTTCCAGGCAGAGAGACGTGTCAGTTTTTCCCTGCGGGCAGCACTGGGAAGTGATCAGAGCACTTAGCTGGCAAACTTAAGCGGGCATCAGAATCACTCGGGTGCCTCGTTAGGTGGGTTGTGCCCCATGACGTCTGACCCAGAGGGTGCTGGTGGTGCTGCTTCTGATCGGAGAGGCTCTTCAAGAACCCCCGGTGCGGACTGCATGCTTTAGACTCACGGGGGGTCCCACCTTTTGGCATCTCTGCACCACACTGGAAGAAGAGCTGTGGTAGGCCACATATTAAATGCATTGTGACATGTAATTACAAAAAAAAAAATCTCATAATGTTTTAAGTAAATTTACGATTTCGTGTTGGGCCGCAGGTTGGACACCCCTGCTAGTTTGGCAACCTGGGTGGTCACTGCCTCTGCCTCGTCATCTGTGGGGTTCTGCGTCCGCAGTGCCGCCTCCTAGAGTGGTGTGAATGAATGAGGCAGCGTGTGCCCAGCACTCAGCACAGGGCTGACACCATCAGTGCATACCCACTGCCGACCTTGATGATAATAAGGATATTGAATGGGGTTTCAACCTGGGGAGATCACGTGGTCCACTTTCCCGTGCTTCAGGATAAGTTGCCTTTGACCCTCTGCCACCTGTGGACTGTGCCGGGTCTTCTCTGGCCAGGTCGTCCTTTGCTTTGTCTCAGGCACCTTTCCGTCTCTGGTTGGAGTAGTGGAAGCTTATCTAATGTGCAGGGGCTCAGAAGACACTCGACCCAAATGCCCTCCACAGCGCCCAGCACCCCCGCAGGCGATCCTCCAGCTTCCACTTGAGCCCGGGAGCCCTCTGCCCGGCAGGCGGCCCCCAGTGTTGTTACAGTTGCCTGCTTTTGTGGGAAAGGGGGGGGCCTTGCGAAAGCCCTTCTTCTCTCACTCCTTTGTTCCCTCACTGCTCTCCTGACCACTTTGGGGGAGGGAGGGAGGGAGAGAGGCAGGGTGGTGGCAGGGTGTGGCGGAGAGGGCACGACTGGCCACCTGAAGACCCAGGTCACCTCCTCTTGGTATCACTACCGTCTCGCCAGCCCTGGGCGGATGTCTCCGCTGTGCTGGCGTCGGCGCGCCCACTGCAGGATGGAGGGGTTGTCCTGCTGGTGTCTCCAGTGTCCTCTTCTGGCTCTCAGAACTGCAGGCCCGCGGCTGGGCCGCTGGCAGTTCCCGAGCTCTCCCTGCGGGGCCAGGCCTTTCGCACCCGCCCTCCCTGTGTCTAGAGGCTGCGCCACTGGCCCCTCGCCCTGGCCCTCTTTGAAGGGAGGGTGCCTGGGGACCTGCGGAGAGTTTTGCCAGAAAGAAGGCACAGGGAGACAGGAGAAGCTCCCCAACCCCTGGAGACAGGTTGCAGGAAGTTCTTGGTGTTTTCCGCATGACTGGCCAAGGACAGTCACTCGTCAGATAGGAACGGGTGAGTGGCCAAGTGGCCGGAGAAGCAGCTGGCTCTTCGTCTGACGGCTGCCCCCTCAGGGGGCTCTTCTCTTTCCAAGGACCTCGTCCGAGGCTGTTTGCCGTGTCCTTGAATGCCTGCAAACTGATCTGGGTGGCCCAGGCAGATTCGGGGGGGACAGGAGGAGGGGTGCTGTGGGAGTCCCGTCACTGAGGAGTCATAGTCAGAGGCTAGAGGTGGTATTTTTAGGGAGGGCGTGGGGGGCTGTCCCATGAGTCAGGGGCCTTTGGTTTGGTCTCCACCCACATTGGAAAGGACTCACTCCGCCGGCCATTGCCCTCTGCCTTCACTGTGGCCAGCATCATCAGAAGGCTGAGGAGCCGGGGCCCCTCCACACCCCTGCTTCGGCCTCTGCAAGCACTACCCACCCTTCCCACCCCCGGGAAGAGGGTCTGAGGACAGGACGCTGACTTTTAGAAAAGAGGAAGGGATCTCTCAGACGCAGGGGTGGCGTGCCGATCCCTGGGCACGCACTGGGTCACGTTTCTGGGCACCTGACCCTTCTCCCTGCTTATGATTTAGTTTATTCGCGTGCGTTTCTCCGTGGTTTCATTGTAAGTATATGCCTCCCTGGGCGATATGTAGTATTGTTTCGTATGTTTTAAAGTGTTACTTAAATGCTCTCATACTATCTATATTCTTCTGAAACTCGCTTGTTTTGCTTTCATGTATTTGTGAGATTCATCATGTTGATATT